AATGAATGTAGCCCCGCGCGAGCCAATGAGCTGAGACCGGATGCGATATATCCTCCTTGGACAACAACTGCTCTCTGTTCCTCCTCAGATCCACATGACGCCATTTACTTTTGCTTTTGCCGAGAGAGATCACCCTGCCTCCTCCGGAAAGGAGAAGGAGGAGGAGGAGGGGGGGGCGGGAGAGGAAAAAAAAAAAGAAAGGGGGAGGAAAAAAGCGAGAGAAAGGAGGGGGAGCAGGGGGGAAAAAAAAAACAAAAAAAACGCCGAAGCTCTTAAGAGACCGGATCTCAAACCTGCTTTTCTGCAAAGATACAAACAGCAGCAAGAAAGCAGCTGCTTAAGCAAAACCCCGCTGTTTTTTTTTTCCCCTTTCCTCCCCCTCCCCTTTAAAACAACAGCAATTCTCTCCCCCTCCCCGTTTGCAATCAGCAAAGCTGCCTTGGGAGAGAGAGAGAGAGAGAAAGAGAGAGGGGGAAAAAAACACGCACTCACGTACAGCACACAAACTCCGAGCAAGCGACCCACCGACCACTTTAAAAAAAAAAAACAGCTATCCTCCCCTTCTTTTCCTATTTTTCCCCCCCTTTTAATTTTTATTTTTGCAAACGGTTTTGCAACCGTTCGGAACCGGGGAAGCCACAGCGATCCGAGAGAAAAGAGAGAGCGAGAGACAGAGAAGCCTTTTTGGGGGCTTGGAAAAGATTCTGAGCGAGATCTCATCCAAACCACTCCGGGAATCGTATTTTATTTTTTATTTTATTTTTCATTTTTTTAAAAGGACCCACTCCGTGCCTTTTTTTTGCTGGGGTTTGTCCCCTCGCGCTCCTTTCGGCGTACGGTGCATGCAAGGAAAAAAAAGTTTGCTGGAGAATGACGAATCGGCCTTTTCATTGAGAAAAAGAAAAGGGGGAAGAAGAAGGGGGGAAAAAAAGGAGACAAGGAGATCGCGAAGGGGGACAAACATCCTCGCCGGATCGGGAAAGAAAAGGGCGGTTTTTTTGTTTTTTGTTTTTCTTCTTGAAAAAAGAAAAGAAATCCGTCGATTGTGGTGCAGCGGCGTGTGGCTGTCTGGCTTACGACTTGTTATTTTTTCCCCCTTTGGAGAAGAGAAGAGTGAAAGCAGAGAGAGAGAAAATCTTCCCAAATTTGCAGTGGATTTTTTTTTTCTCCCTTCCTCGGTCTAACACGCAAAACATTTCGATGATTTTTGCTCACAACCTGGACTCGAAGTGAGTTTGCAACGGAAGAAACGCCTTCTGTTCTCCTTTTTTCCCTTCTCCTCCTCCTTTCTTCTTCTCCCTTCTTCCCCTTCCCCTTCTTCTTCTCCTTCTTCTTTCCTTTTTTGGCTTCGGGGTTGGATTTACTCGACCACCGCAGGAAGACGCGGGGAGAGAGAGAGACCTCGGGGGTCGTGGTGGAGAGAGAGGATGGCGGGGAGGGGAGACAGGGGGAGAGGGAGGGAGAGGGCTTGGGGGTGACCTGGCTTGAACGCTTGCAAGCTTTTGCCCTTCCCTTTGCAAAGCGGCGAGGAGAGAGAGAGAGAGAACAGAACAGAACAGAATAATAGAGTTGGAAGGGACCTTGGAGGTCTTCTAGACCAAACCAAGGCTTGTCAAAGAAACCTGCGGATCGGAGCCGGTGGGCAAGGCGGGGGGTGGAGGGTTTCCCCCGGATTGAGCTCCCTCTCTCCCTCGTTGGGGACAGAGGGGCGATGGAGCCTGGCGAGGTGGCTGTGGGGGGCGAGGGATGGGCGCGGGGATTTTGCGGGTGCCGAAGTCTGACCTCTCGCACGGGCTCACCCTGCTGACACTTTGCGGAAGGCATTGCAAGCGTGGGAGCTCCCTCCTCACTCACCCACCCACCCGTGACCCCGACCGTCAGTGGGAAGCGGCGTGGAGCGCTTTCCCAAAGGGCAAGAAATATATATATATATCTACCTTTCAGGTTCCCAAAGAGCTGCTCCTTGCAAAAGGAGGAGCAAACTCTCTTGTTTTCCCCGGATCGGGACTTCGGAGGGTGGAGGGGGGGCAGCCAGGCCACTTTTGCAAAGAGTGGCTAAATTTAAGAGCCGTGGACTGGGGAGGGGGGGTCGGCTTCCCAACCTGTCAAAGGTTGGACTTCCGAGCCCCTGATTCTGAAATCGGTTTTTTTGGGTTTGTGCTGCTTGAAACGGGAAGGCCAGTTCGTGCTTTAAAAACAAACAAACAAAAACTTGCGTAGTTGGAGCCTTTCCTGGGGGGGCAATTCAGAAGTGAGAGAATGTAAAAATCTGATTTGTTTTAAACCCCCCCCCTCTTCCCCCCTCTGCTGGGGAAACAAGATTGGAAAGGGAGCAAGGCCACTGCCAAATCCACTTTGCAAGTAATGCTGGCTGGCATCTGCCCTACCAGTTTCCTTTGCCTTCTATTTTATTTTGAGGTTGGGGTTTGTGTGTGTGGGGGGGCAGCATTCCTTGTTTTGGAAATAGCTGGCCATCTTCCTCCCCTTCCCCCCACCTCCCTTCCTCTCCATTTAGGCTTTTTTCTAGCTGCACTAGATTTAACCTCCGGCCATGGATAACGCGAAGGCGAAGACCCGGGTCAGAGTCGGTTGATAGGAAACGGTGGAGATTCTCCATGGCTCCGAAAGTTTGTCTTTATTCTTTTCTCCTGGTGCCCTGCTGTCGGTCAGAAGGGACCTGGCTGTGTGCCTTGTCAATTTCCCCTAATACCAATTTTTATTTTTATTTTAGATTGTGGGGTGGGGGTGGGGGAGAGAGAAAACTGTTTAGAAAGTTCCCAGAGGCAAGAGAGCTGATTTTTTTTGTCCCCTTTTCCCTGTGAATAAACTTTGATTTTTTTTGGAAACTGGCAAAAAAGCCATCTCAGTAAATATACACATGTATCAGTTGTGGGAGAAACCATTGGTTATAAAAGAGGCGTTTGGCTGCTGGTTGGTTTGGTTTTTTTCCCCAACACCTGTCTGACATTCATAGAGAAATCAATCTATTTGTAGACTAGAGAGAGTGGGACTTTTGTCTTATTCATAGGCCAAGCTCCCTCTGCCACCCCAAGCCCCATGGATGATGACATTCTGGGGCCTGTTATTTTATTTATTTTGGGGAAAATACCTTGATGTGAGTGTGTGTGTGTGTGAGAGGGGGAGAGAGATGGCTTGACATTTTATGCCCATCAAAATCAGAGAGTGACTCGAAAGAGAACACTGCTTTTAAAGCATTTTTTGTTGTTATTGTTGTTGCTCCGGCAGAGAGAATAACATCCTATCAAAAGTCACACTAAATCTTATATGATTTAGGTCAGGAAAAGGAGTAAGGGAGAGAGACTACCTTGACTTGGTGTTCCTGAATGGAGTTACTATCTAGATAGAAGGCTTTGCATAAGCAGAGTGAGAGAGTCCCTGCTTGGAAGGAGAAGAGAAGAGAAGGAAGCAAAGTTTTCCTGATAAGGCAATCTTATTAGTAGCCCCATTCCCACCGCTTTTTCTCTCCTATATATATATATATATAGCAGAAGAAAAGCCTATCATAAGAGAAGGAGCTATGCTCGGGTTGGCAGGAGGAAGAATAAGTTCAGGTGGAAAGGTGTCAAACTAAATCTTTTTTTAGGGCAAAGCTTTGTCACGGAAATCCTAAATTTACTATATGAAACCTTTCTGGGCTCCCGCATTTCCTCCCCCACCTCCATGCAAGATTTAAAAAAACAACACCCTTTTTTTTAATACAGTTATTGCAAAATAGGTCTGTACCTGACTTTCATCTAGCATTAGCAAGCGAGTTCTGTTTGTTCATGTTCTTAGAAAGGCAAATTGAAGTCAGGATTTTAAGCGCTTCTCCAAAGTGGTTTTTGAGGAATCAAATACTTTGGCAAGCAAATGGCCATAAGATTGCGACCCTTTCATGCAGGTCGTCCCCCCCCCCCCAGGAATAAATCCTACAAAATTCACTAGATAAGCAATGTTGGAATGCTTGCATATTTGAAAGTTTGCTCTGCTGAATTGCAGGGAACATAACAAAGTTTAGTTTGTTTGTCTTTGCCAGATCAGAATGAACCATTCGCCTTTGTGAAATAGATCTTGCTAAATCTTGAGAAAGTAAGAATTTCAGCTTTCTTCTTCTTTTTTTCCCCCCCTTCTCCTTCCAGTTTGACATTTTTGTTACTCCGAGCATAGTTCGTTGGGCTTCTGCAGCTAAGCAATCTGCTTTAGCAATGCACAGTTTTAAGTTGAAGCCAGCGGTGTCACATGCTGTTCCTGGAATTGTGTGATTTATTGTTAACGTGTAGAATGTTTGCCCATGTTAAGCCAAACCACCTTTTCTGGTGATGTTCAGGAAGTGAATGGATTATCTCTGGGTGTTATGAATGCACAATGCAAACTCTGACAGTGCTTAGCATTGGTACTTACTGCTGGTACTTTGCATTGCAAAGTGGAACACGAATGCAAAATTGTGAAAAGAGAGAGAAGGTCTGGCTTTGGGGGGGGGTTGTTTTTTTTCCCCCCATCTCACATAAGACTAGCCTCAAATACTCAAAAAAAGTATTTGTTTATTCAAACAACTTTATTGTTCCTCACTGTCTTTCCTGCTAACCATGGCATAGAATTTAATTCCCTTTTCCACTCTGCCTTGTCTTCATGTTTCATGTGCTGCCAACGTTTTTTTCCTAGATTGCCATATAATGTCAGAGCTACTGTTCCTCTGGCTCCCATTTTGCTCACAGAGCTTCGGGGCAACTTCCGGTAATCCTCAAATTATGGCCGCAATGGAGATCAGCATTTCCGTTGGCTAAGCGAGACGAGGGTTGAGTTTTGCCCCGTTTTGCGACCTGCCTTGCCACCGTTGTTAAGTGAATTTGCTGCCGTTGTTAAGCTGGTAACCCGTTTGTAAAGTGAATCTGGCTTCCCCATTGACTTTGCTTGTCAGAAGGTCGCAAAAAGGGATCACATGACCCCCAGGGCACTGCATAAATGCATGCAAGTGTCATAAATACATGCCAGGTGCCAAGGGTTCGAATTTGGATCCCGTGACCTTGAGGATGACACAACAGTCATGTAAAACGTGGTCATAAGCCACTGTTTCGGTGTTGTAACTTTGAACGGTCACTAAATGAATGGTTGTAAGTCAAAGACTACCTGTGTTGTAATTTTACAACTTGAAGGGGACTAAGTCCCAACTTTCTCCCAGCTAAAGTCCTCAAAACTGTATTCTCTTAATTACTGGATAAATTCCAGTGAAATCAGTGGCCCCTAGAATAGGATAGGATAGGATAGGATAGGATAGGATAGGACAGGACAGAACAAAACAAAACAGAACAGAACAGAACACTTTATTGGCCAAGTGTGATTGGACACACAAGGAATTTGTATTTGGTGCAAATGCTCTCAGTGTACATAAAATAAAAGGTACATTTGTCAAGAGTTAAGGATCATCAGGTACAACACTTAATGATAGCCATAGGAACAATAAGCAATCAAACAAATACCTGTATTTATGTAAGATTTTTCTATATGGGGCAAGAATTTGAAAAGCCCATCTGGAATTTCATGCAGATGTAAACCCTAAAAGTAAAGCGAAGGAGATGGAGACCGACTTTTCACTAGGTTCATTGATCAGGATTGTGGAGTGAGCCCCATGCAGCTGCTTGCCAAGTTGTACACTTCAGAGCAAGCTTAAGTTTGGGTCAAGTGTCCAAAAGCTGCATGCAGATCTGTGTTGGTATTGAAAGTCAGAATTCCAAGGAAGTGTTGTAGTGTTGCATTTCCATAAACTTGGCCGGATTCAGGTTATCAAAGGAAGGTTGGTTTCCTTAGAGTGTGTGTTTATTTCAAGATCAAGACTTCAGTTAATTGACTTTCCTTCCTTGAATTCTACTGTATAGTGCAGTGTTAATGCAATATCAGGGGTTTTCAATTCAATGTATGGAATGGGAAGGATGTATGTTTGTGTTTATTTTCATAGTCATAATGCACACTGAATGGTATTTAATTTTGTTGCACGAGGTGCAATGACAATAAACTAAAGTAAACTAAACTTCCTGAGACTAGGTGCAAGGCTGCACCCAGTTACATTGCCTGGCAAAGGAAATACCCACACCTGGATAAAAGAAAAAAAACAAACTCTTTCTTTCTTTCTCTTAGGATTTCAGATGTGTTCTAAGCTTCCTGCAGTGATAGCTGTTCAGGATACTGATGGAGACGAGAGCTCAGAATGGCAGTGGGTTACAACCCTTGCTTCAAGGCCAGCATGACACCGGGAGACAATTTGGAGACTCTGACCTAAGGGATGTCCTAGCACAACAAGTTCACGTCTTGTCCTTGGACCAAATCAAGGCTATCCGGAACACGAATGAATACACCGAACCTCCTACGGTAGCTCCCCGACCAGGACTGAAGCCAGCCCCACGCCCGGCGGTCCAGCATAAGAGCGAAAGACCGCACGACTTGACGGAGCAACGCCATCTGAACAGGCTTCCCCATCCCCAGGTCCATGTTTCTTCTCGACTCCCGCTCTCCCGTTCCATCAGCACGGTCAGCAGCACTAGCTCGCGCGGTAGCACAAGGACAAGTACGAGTAGCAATTCGTCAGAACACAGGCTTCTGGGGTCATCATCCTTGGGGACAGTGGTCGAGGGGATAATACGAGTACAGCCGAAATCGGAACTGAAGTCTCGGGAGCTGAAACCCGCCAGCAAAGAAAACTTGCATATGCACGCCTACCGCTGTGAGGACTGTGGGAAGTGTAAGTGTAAGGAATGCACTTATCCGCGGACTCTTCCATCCTGTTGGATCTGTGACAAGCAATGTCTTTGCTCGGCCCAGAACATGGTAGATTACGGGACCTGTGTCTGCTGCGTGAAGTGTCTTTTCTACCACTGCTCCAATGACGACGAGGACAACTGCGCCGACAACCCCTGTTCGTGTAGCCAGGCCCACTGTTGCACTCGGTGGTCCACCATAGGCGTTGTGTCCCTCGTTTTGCCTTGCTTGTGGTGTTACCTGCCAGCCAAGGGTTGCCTTAAATTGTGCCAGGGCTGTTACGACCAAGTCAACAGGCCAGGTTGTCGCTGTAAACAATCCAACACGGTTTGCTGTAAAGTTCCCAAAGTCCCACCCAGGAATATTGACAAGCCAACATAGCATCACTAATTGGGTAACCAGGAGGACGACACAACGCCAACTAAGTGATCTGTAATGGTGGCGTGGTTTCTTGGTGGTGTGCAAGAGCAGGAATGAGAAAAAGATCCAACCTCGTGGAGACCCTTCTTTAGAATCCGCCCAGGGGAGATCCAGAGTGGGAATAACGCTTGGTAGCACCTAAAAGTATTTTATAAGCTAAGAGACTTGAACTACTTCTAAGCAAACTCGCGTGTTGTGCGTTTGTGTGTGTGTGTTTTTTTAAAGGAATTAGTACACTTGTAAATTAGGAAAACTACTTCAACCCACTCCCAGTTATTTTCTGCCAGAGATGTACTATATTTTTGTACATAGGATATTTTCAACTGTGAAAACACAAGTGTCATAGAAGCAGCTATGGCACACAAGTCACAAAATATTATACTAATATGTTGTACATTCAAAAGAATGTGAATCAATGCATATGGTTTAGATTGTTTTTTTTTTGCCTTCAATGGCAAGACTCTGATTTTTTTTCCCCTTTTGGACAGTTGCAGTAAAATGGAGTCTTTATTTTCTAATTTTTTTTCCCAATATATTGTCTAGTGTAAAGAATATTTATTTGAAGTTTTATTATTTTATAAAAAAAATAAATATTTATTTTAAGAGGCATCTTACAAATTTCACCCCTTTTTAATGAGGATGCCACCATTGCTGCAAATTAGGGGTGAAAAATACATATATTCCCTATAAAATAGAAAATATATTAACGTTTGAAATTGAACCGGGCTGCTTGTCATTTTTTTCCCCTCCGTTCCCCTCACTTCTTTGAAGTCAGCAACTGCATCTGTAATTAAGATGTTTTTAAAAAGGGTATAAAGTATTTTTGTAAGCTTTTGTTTGGTGATCAGGAGTTCCAGAAATATATACAAAAGTAGAGTTAAATGATAATGGTTGTTCAAGAACTTCAGATCATCAGTAGTGCCAATATTACATCCAACTATGGCCTCTGTCAAAAAAAAAAGCAATTATACAGGCAGTCCTCAACTTACAACAGTTCACTTAGTGACTATTTGAAGTTACAATGGCAATGAAAAAAAAAGTGGCTTATGACCATTGTTCATAATTACGGCCATTGCGGTCACGTGATCAAAATTCAGACGCTTGGCAACTGTCTCGTATTTATAACGGTTGCAGAGTCATGGGATCATGACTCTTTCTATGACCTTCTGACAAGCAAAGTCAACGGGGAAGCCAGATTCACTTAACAACCTAACAGCTGCAGTGGTTCGCTTAACGACATTGGCAAGGAAGTTCGTAAAATGGGGCAAAATTCACTGAACTAAATGTCTCACTTAGCAACAGAAAATTTGGGCTCAATTGTGGTTGTATGTTGAGGACCACCTGTGTTTGATAGCAATGTTTCTTTCCCTCACCACCAACAACAAAAAGGATACGGAACAGTTACAGAATTACATGGCCTGGGGGTATGGATTGTGTTTGTAGGTATTAAAGGGAGAGAAGTTACCTGTTTAGGTGTACTATTATCATTTTCAATAGATACATAAATAATGCCTTTTTGGGTGGTTAATTGGTCAGCCAGACCTGGTTTATGAAAAGTGCAAAAAAAATAAGTTCCATGCGAAGAATAGAAAAGCCAGAAGCAAAAAAAAATTTTTTCCTGGAAAGCTGAACACACTCCAGGTTACGCCAAACTTCTGGTTGAAGCATCATTGCTAGAGCTACTTCGGCCCAGGTAAGTGTCCTTCTGTTTCCAAGGTTCTCACAGGAAAACAAAATTATTACCCAGTTATGTTAACAATCTTTTTGTCTTTCAAAATCCGGCCTTCCAAGTCCGTAAGTGCCGATTACACAGACAACAAGTAAATAAAACCTGCCACAAGCATGTCTATGAGAGACAGAGAGAGGAATGAAATCAGCGGAGAGCCATATTGAGATGCCTTCATTGTCCTTTCCAATCTGAAATAATTTAAGAATATCGTCATGATTGTGTTGGTTGAATCACAGCAGAAATTCTGGAAAGGAATTGGGAAATTCTTCCAGTGATGGACAATGAAATGCCTTATGAATTAAATTCACAAAGTGGGCATGGAAATGTGGCCTGTTTTGTGAATTACTGGTGCAGTTATATACTGCCGTTTATTTGCACATGGACATTCCCTGTTTGAAGAGTTGAAGTGCATCAGAAATGATTGTTTGCATAGGATAAAATAGCTTTGTCTTTGGGCAGTTGAAGCTGTTGAACACATTTTTCTGCCCAATAGAATAGTTTTGCAAGCCAGTGGCTTCCTTGTGTGTGTGTGGTCTTTCCTCTCCCAACATCTTCAGCCAACATGGGGCAATTCTGCTAGTTGAAGTTGTATATATGACTTCAGATAACAAAGTGTTCCTGTTGATGTAATCTGTGACATTTTGTGAAACCTGATAGAATGACAGAATAACAGAGTTTGAAGGGACTTTGGAGATCTTCTAGTCCAAGGGTCTTCAAACTTGGCAAGTTTAAGACTTGCAGACTTCAACTCCCAGAATTCCTGAGCTAACATGACTGAAGGAGGAATTCTGGGAGCTGAAGTCCACAAGTCTTAAAGCTGTCAAATTTGAAGACCTCTGCTCTAGTCCAACCCCCTGCTCAAGCAGGAGACTATACAATTTCAGATAAATCTTTGTCCAGTCTCTTCTTAGAAGCCTCCAGTCTTGGAGCATCCATAACTTCTGAAGACAAATCCTTCTACTCATTAATTGTTCTAACTATCAGGAAATTTATCCTTATTTCAAAGATTGGTTTTCTGCTTGATTAGTTTCCATCTGTTGCTTCTTGTTCCGCCTTCAGGTTCTTTCGAAAATAGGTTGACCTCTTCTTTGTGTGCAGCCCCTTAGATATTGAGACATTGCTACCTAACCACAGCATGGTTTCATCTTTTGAGAAAATATATGTAATTCTGAAATCTTGTTCTCATCATGCATGGAGATCTGCATGTGTAGGTCATATTTTTCTGGCAATGTGGAAAAATGTGACCGTTAGTCTGTCCCAAAAACTTGTTTTTGTACATAATAGCAATAGCACTTAGACTTGTATACCACTTTACAATGCTTTACAGCCCCCTCTAAACAATTTACAGAGTCAGCCTATTGCCCCCAACAATCTGGATCCTCATTTTACCCACCTCAGAAGGATGGAAGGCTGAGTCAACCTTGAGCCTGGTTGACTGATTTGAACTGCCAAATTGCAGGCAGCCGGCAGGCAGCAGAAGTAGCCTGCAGTAACCACTGCGCCACTGAGGCTCTATTGTCCTGCTATATTGCAAGTTTGGGGGAATTATAAAACAACCTTTTTAAATTTGGTACCATGTAAATGTATTGGATCATAATCTTCAAAACTGCCAGCAATGATAATCAGGATTTGATCAGATTTCAGTTATAAATTGATTATCAAATTATCAAATTAAAGTGCGAGTTTGCTCTAGTGATTACGGCACCAGGCTAGAAACCAGGTGATTGTGAATTCTAGTTCCATCTTAGGTATGACAGCCAGCTGGGTGACTTTGGACCAGTCATTTACTTTCAACCCAATTTATAAAAGTTTATTGTGAGGAAAATAGGAGTAGGAAGGATTTTCTGACATTTGCAAGTCCAAATTTAACATAAGAAAAGCATAAACTAGCAAAATTATTGTGCTAAAAATTAATTGGTTAACAGTTTTTGTATTTTTTTTAAAAAAAATTCCTCAAGTAGCTGATCAAGTATTCTACCAGGAATGAAGGTGAATAGCCTATTTAAAATAATTCTAATTTGTGAATTGCATTGCAGTCTACAACTGTTATCTAAGATGTAGTTCAACTTTCCCTAAAGGCTATTTTGCTGGGGATGATGGGAATTGTCAGTTAGATGAAGGATCAGTAGGTGAAGGAGAACTTGCTTAACACTTGACATTGTAGCAACCAATTTCAAGTTAATCCCTTAACATTTTTTAACAAATTCAATACTTTTTTCTTTTAAAAAATCAGGTTGTTTTCATGTATAAAATACAGATAGCCATGACAACAATGGAGCCCAAATTTTATGTTGCTAAGTGAGTCATTTAGTGTCATAACTTTGAACAGTGGCTAAGTGAACAATTGTAAGTTGAGGACCACCTGTAATCATTTTATTTATTTATTTATCAAATGTATATGGCCACCTATCTCACACACAGGGCGGCATACAATAAAGTTCAGGAAAAAATTAGGCATGAGATGGACATAGATGTTGGGTTTATTATAAAACAGGATTGATTAATTTGTTTCTACTTCAGTATGTGTGGAATTGAAGTGGTGATACAGCATGTATCACAATGTCTTTGTAGTGCTCAGTTGAGATACTACCATTTCTGAACTATCAGAAAATATCGGCCTGACTTCTTAACCTTTGCACCTGAAAATGAACAAGAACTAAATTAATGCTCCCATGCGATAAATTAATCTGGGTTGTGAAACCTAGCACTAAATCTTGCTGAGAAGCATTACCCTTGAGTTTAAATGATTGTAGCATCCATGAAGTGCCATCTGAAGATGTATAGAAATCTTTAAAAACACCTGTTGATTATTAGTTGCATAAAAAATATCCCCCTGAAGAGGTTTCCATTGCTAAGTGTTTCAAAAATAAACCAATTGTTTGCACGGATACCCATTACAATATTGCAAGTAGCACTTATGTTAAGGCAATAAGGTTTGAGGTGGTTGCAGCAAACTTCCCTCGAATTTTAGTGAGATTTAGTTAATGCAACTTAATGCAAAGGGTTCAGAACATGTATGTTTTGAGGCAGATGCTGGTTTATTGAGAAAAATTATCAGAGACTTCAGTCCAAATCCAAAGCAGAGTTGAAAATGCATTACCTATTTAAACCAGTGGCCTTAAGCACATATTAATCTTTATCTTGGTGGGTGGGTATGTTTTCACTTAAGTGTATCCCATTTGAAAAATTACTTGCTATCAGTCAGATAGCCAACTTTCAGATGTTTGCTGAATCTCAGTTTTTGTTAACCTTATATTGCCAAATGCTCACATGTGTTGGAGTTCAATACATCTGAAAGACCACTCACAGCTATAAATGAACAGTTGACAGCTTTAATTTATTATGCATATTTATTACAATAAGTTAATTATTGGCTAAGCTAAAAGAAAAGTGATCTGGGAACAATTCTTCTTGAGGCAAATCATAAGTTACCCGTGGTTCCCTCAGACTCTTAAAAATGCCAACTAAACAATTAGAAATGAACTTTTGTTGCTTTGTACCCAACATAAATAAATCTGCTTCTACCATTAAATTGCAATATTTAACTCTGAAGCTTTGCTCTTAAGGAATCCATAATGAAGTCATTGGCAACTCTCAAACGGACAGGCAAGTTTGCAAATCCTTATTGGCATGAGATGCGTGCATCTTCCTTACCAAGCTTTCGTGTTCTTTAAATTATGAAAGCTAAAAGGCATCACAATTTGTCAACTTGTCAGACTTACACAATTAAAAACATTTAGCAGCTAGACTTGCATGTACTCCTTATGTGAAACATGGTATTTGGTTGTTGTAGCTTGGCATGACTCAAATTTGTAGGATTTATTTAGCTGACAAGGTAAGGACCCAAAACTAATCCAGTCTTAGTGTGATAATTGTTCAAACATAAGAGCACGGACCCTGTTTAACAAGTAACTCAATAGGAAAGCTGT